AACAGCTAAGTTCAAGAGCTGGCAAGAAGCTGCCTCCTAGAAGGGTGGGGTGGAGAGGGAGAAGGGAGCAAAGGGTCATGTAATCGGTTGCTGGGGCCCATGAATTTGGTAGGTCCGTATGCATGAGCTTCCCTGCCTTTGTGCTGGGGGGGCAGCCATATTCCAACTGCTTCCTTCACTGATGTACAGGGGCAAAAAGCTCCTTTTGCACTCTGAGAAGTGTAGCTACAATATAGCCCTCAAATAGTAGGATCATTTTTTTTCTCTAGAGGGAACACTGTTCACTCAGATGGGACCTTTTGGCTTGGTACATCATGATGATGGTGGTAGCAGTGGTATGGAGTTTGCTTCATGCTTACACAGGCATTGCATGGCTGCTCCTGGAAGAAGCATACTGGAGTAGATTGGCCCCTGGGCTGATCAGGACTGGCACATCCTCTGAGTCGTCAGATTTGATTTATTCTAGCTGATTTATTCAAATGGACCTCTGTAAATAGCAAGGTGAAAATGCTGACTATTTTTCTTTGCAGCACTGCACCTTGCTTGCATCTGTTAACAATGCTCCCCTGATTTTTCTGATTAGTGCTACATTTGTGCTTTTTGAATGCTCATTGCTAACTAAATGTCACAGTTCTGAGCCAGAACTTGGAGAAAAACTGCCTAAGAACCTTGTTGAGTAGCTGAAATACAGCAACATGATTAAAACTGCCACATTGAACATGTTGATTTTGAGAGTCTCAGCTGTGCCATATGCACTTCAGCAGAAGCAGCAGCTGACTCCGCACGGAGAAAAGTAAGCCTCTGGAGAATTCAAATAACTGGGAGAAGTGACCATGAGTCATGTAGAATCCTGCTACTGCAATAGGTTTTGCTTAATTGGAGCACAAAAACCAACTGAAAAGAAAGGTCAAAATAACAATTAATGACAAATGCAGAAATTATTTCTGGAGCATGGGTTGCAGTGGAAGATCCAAGGGCTAACAAAGAATGGCTCTCAAGCTAAATTCCAACTTTAGGTCTCTGATACATCAGATATATGAGACAATGTTAGACAAACAGTACGAGATCCTGAGCCATAACACCAACAATTGTGGTTATTAAAGACACAGTTTGGGTATACCTCCTTGTCATGCTGCCTCTGTACACTAAAGAGATGTTTTTCTAAGAAATGCTTTGTTGAAACCAAGTTATTAGGCTCTGTATGGGAATATAAGGATGAAATCCTATTTTGTATAGGAGGTCAAATCAGCTGATTGAAAGGTCCCTTCTAGTTACAGGTTTCCTTCTCTTTATGCTGTACATGCGTTCCTGGAAAACATAAAGGGAACCCACTTTACAAATGTAACAAACAGGGATATGTTCCAAGACCTCAACTGTACAAACCCTCAGACCCATTTCTACCACTTTTACAGGACAATTTTGCTACTCGCCAACAGCAGTACACACAAGCACAGGGCACTATCATAATAGGGGTGGCAACTACAGAAACATGTGTCGCAGACAATGAGTGAGGAGCACAGGTCCGCACAGGAGACTATATTCTGGTGCACATCACTCCCACAATGCACTGCACAAAGCCGTTGACTGCAGGCTTCCACCACACCAATATCATAAGAGTGAATTTACCTCACATATAACAAATTTTTGGTATAAAAAGGGTCATCATGTAAGAGCGAATTCACACATATAGAACCCATATAGGGAAACCTGTATGTATCATAGCAGCTTGCGGGTATTTAATTTAAAAGTTTTTAAAGTAATTTCTCTTGTGCTCATCAGCTGGCCCCTTTGCTACCTCTACATTGTTTCCTCCTTTTTCTTTCTCTTGTGTCTGCCCTGAAACAGGTGTTAGGTTGAGGAACTAGGGAGATGCGGAAGGAACAGAGTAGGCACTAACGGAGTCAGTGGGAACATTTTTAAAGAGGGGAATGGATATGGGAGGCTTGGAGGTGACAGAGCTGAAGTTTGTCACCACACCACACTCCCCACAACTTACCACCTGCTCTTGTCTATGCTACTCCAGTGCTAATTTACATTCTTTCTCACTGCTTCAGCCCCTCAAATTCTCCCCAGCTGCTCAAGATTGTGTTTAGGGGGCTACAATAATGGAGGCCATATTAGCACCTAAGATAGATAGATGTACTGCTGCCTGTAGAGAGTAGATTATGTTATTTCCATTGTAACTATACCAGATCTTGCATAGTCAATTTTGTTCCTAGGATGGGTGTATAAGGAACATGTTAGTTACTTTCTAACCTTTCTAAGCACTTGGAGGAGAAATAGGTGATTAGGAACGGTCAGCATGGATTTACCAGGGACAAGTCATGCCTAACCAACCTGATTGCCTTCTCTGATGAAATGACAGGTTCTGTGGAGGTGGGGAGACTGGCGGGCAGCGCCGATCTGAACAGGGTGCAGGGCCTGGGAAAAATCAGCCCATGCAAGGCCCTGCCCCCGCTCCAATCCCAAAGAAACTGCCACTGCATTGGCGTACACTGGGGTGCGGGGGGAGGGTAGCAAGTAGCTGGATGTGAGGCCGGCGGCAGTGGCATAGAGTTGCTGCAGCCATTGCTGCAGCCACTCCACCCAGCGCTGCGGAGGCCCCCAAAGCACAGGGCCTGGGGCGGTCACC